TCTAAAACATGTGCCATGTGCTGAGAATTCTGGGGGATGAGTGACTGTAGGCCCCGTTCTACTGGAGCAGTGATGGCAAACTTCGAGAGCTTCCCATGATACAGGTAACCCACTGTGGCCTGCGTGCCGTAGGTTCGTCACCATATCATATTCTGCTCAGAAGAGGGGTACCGTGAGTCTCTGCTTACCTACAGCAATTCCTCGGAGCTCAGGAACACACTAGTGTTTATTTCTGGTGTGGACATCAGTCTCTTGGATTCCTGAGGGGTTGCAGAGGAATCTGATTGAGGGGTCTGGTGATGACATCAGTGAAGAAGCTACAAGGCTCTCTCTCACCTTCCTTCTCTACTCTTCTTGGAGCAGTCAGGCTCTCCAGGTTGACCCTTACCCAGAAGAACACCTGAGAATTCCTGTGCTGCAGGAGCTGTTAGTAACAGTGATTTATCACCAGAACTAGGCTGTTTGTGGGATGGAAGGGAAACCTGGGCAGCAAAGGACAAACCACAGTTTGAAGTCACCCTGGCCAAAAGGTTCAAGGTACTTTCTGGACTTCACCTTCTCCTCCAACCAAAAACTGATTATACTTTCAGACAAGTAGAGAGGGTTTTGTTGTTGTTGTTGTTGTTGTTGTTGTTGTTGTTGTTGTTTTCTTTAAGACAGAGTCTTGGTTAGTCACTAAGTTGCTTGAGTTGGCCTTGCACTTGAGGTCCTCATGCCTCAGCCTTCCAGAGTGCTGCTATTACAGGCCTCCGCCTCCAGGGCCAGTTGGAGAGGGTGTTTAAAAGCCATAACTAATGGGAAACAAGGTATAGTGAATGGGTCTTAGGGTTCTTGATACTGGTCATCCACTCGACCTTTAATGGATCATGTGTGTTAGTAACCCTGAAAGGGGACTCAGAACAGAGCCGTGTGCCTGAGCATTCCTGTGGGAATGGAAGGTACAGTTGGGTTGGTGTACCTTTGAAGTCAAATTATGAAGTCTCTTTCGGAGATTATTTATAGTCCTGTCTCAGAGCAGTATTGAACCAGAACCTTATTGTGATTGTTGAAAGGAGATGTGTTTTGGTTAATAGCAGCCTGTTGAAACCCTATCATGATGGACCATCTGAATATCTATGCAGAGGGGAAATACCACAGGAATGCCTAGAACGGTTCCTACAGGAAGTTGAAAATAAGACTGTTCACACTAGTTCACATCCCAGTTGCTGGGGTAGAAGATAGAAACAGCTGCCCTGCAGTATGCAGTGAGAGTACCAGAGTTGCTGTTACCCAGGGGCCAGGCTGTGTGCCTGGGAGTATGCCTTGTATGGTAAGTGGGTTATTGCTCCTCCTTCTCCTCAAAGCAGCTCAGTGCAGGTACGGATAGGAGTGAGTTATCCCAGGCCTGAGAAGCTCAAATCTAAGCAGCATCCCTAGGGCTACAGTGCCACTAAATGCTGGCTCTACACTAACACCCAGGCAGCCTGATTGCAGGGAGGTACTTTTGCCTGCCATTAAAATCTGTGCTCCCTGTGATTAAAACTCGCTAATTATGCCGTCCTGCCACAGGGCTGGGGGTACTTTCTGTACTTGTTCACACTCAGCATCTCTTTGATCTTCCAGTGGCTGAGGAGTTGCTTTGAGACCGCCCCTTTCAGGCTATTGGAGAAGTCGCTTTACTAGCCAACTTAGTCACCAGTCTCAGTGAAACCTAGGTTTCAAACCAAGATCTAGAATTTTTCTCTTTAGGAGTAACTGTAAAGCTTGTCTTGTACTACCCATGAATGCAAATTGTTTTTTTTTTTTAATATATAAAACGTACATGTTTTTATTATTCCTTATTTCTCTTTTTTACCTTTAAATTAAACCTATGTACCTGATTCTTTTCTAACATGCCACTAGAAGTGTGTGTGAAGAATGTGGAGCTTTCCTGACGTGCACACTCAGGGTGCCACTGTATTTTGCCCTCTAGGTTGACTGTTGTTTCTGACTGTGATGTGACATCCTTGCTTACCTAAGAGATCAAAACAGTGAAAATCTTTAATGAAAAGGCTTCTGCTTAGTGTTTCTAAATTTGTAGATCTGTACACTGCAGCCCCAGCGAATTTCTTACGGAAGCTATGGAAATGACTGACTAGTTGAACTTTTAAAATAATAACAGTGAAATAAAAAAAAAAAAATACACTGTGCTAGTACAAACATGACTGTTAGCGGCACTTGGGCACTTACATGGTTCTTCCTATTTACACACCAGTGAAGATCCAAGTGGCTCCCTAGTCAGACTTCATAGGTACATGAGGAGCGTCCTTGGCAAGTCCAGTTTGACTCCAGAGCGATTATGTTATTAGAATATTGCTGATTGCCCCAGGTCCCATGGTGGACTGAACCTTTAAATACTAATTAACTGCTTTATTGTTTTATTAGCAAACTCCAAGATAGAACTCTGTTCTACAATAAAATTCAATAATAAAATGCTATCTATACAGCCTGAAACAACCAGCTTAAGAAAAGTAAAGTTCTTTGATTGTATGTGTATGTCAATAAGTAGGCAGTGAGATTTAAATAGACATTAACATTTAGTATTAGTTTTTAAGAACTTGATTCACTTTTGTACAGAATTCAGGATTTTTTAACAGTGGAAGTAACTTGAAATTGTGTTGAAACAAAAAGACTCAGATGGTTGTTAATGCTGCGCTTACACATTTGGTCTGTCTTTCTATAAAGTATCACATCAGTGAGCTGAAGGTATCTAGAGACAGTAAAGGAGTAAAAGAGAAAGGACAGAGTTACAGTTCCACGAGCCATAACTACGGTCTTATTTCTAGGGGTCCCTTGCAGGAAATCCCATGGGTTGTAGGTGAAGATGGAGGTTTATGTGCAGAGGGTAAGCCCAGGCCTTCTGCTCAGCTGCATTTCTGAGCAATCCCTACTGCCCGCTGTGCCGGATGCCCCTGCTCCCTGGGCAGCCACACCCTGAGGTGGGCAGTGGGCTTGTAGAGTAATAGGGGTGCTCTAGTCATTGGATGAAGAACAGTCTGAGGCAGCACCAAAGAATGAGTGATTAATTCTGCCTGACAGCATCTGAGGAAGCTTTGAAAAGTGACATTAGAGTTGGTTCTTAGGGACAAAAAGGATTTCAAAGGGTAGTTACTGAGTGAAAGGGGATTTCCATAAGGCAGGGGGAAAGGTTATGGATGCCGTGAAAACACAGACTTGGGAGAGCACAAGTTCCTAGCCCCGAGGAGGACGACAAAGTCAGGACTGGATTGGAGCAGGGGGTGAGCACTCCAGGTTGTGGCCTTACTGAGGAAATTCTCCTATGGAAAGTGGGGAACCATTTGTTCTTTTTAAGGAGAAGTAGGGATAAGTGGCAGAATGTTTCTCTCAGCAGTAAGAATTTTAGAAATGCAGAAGGTGGGCTGGAGTGGAGAAGCCCTAGAGGGATTCTGGTGCGAAGCAAGGGGTGGGTAGCAGCTTGTAGATGACATTTGTATATATGGTTTAATTGGTCACGAAAATCACGGGGTATAGTATGCGAACTGAGCAGGAGCACAATTGAAAGAGGTCCCAAATGGTGTTATGATTCAGTGGCATTAAAATAGAACTTGGAACTAGAAGCTGTGGCTGTCACACCAGGTCTCGTAATTAGCTTAAAGGCCCTTGTAAATACTGTGTATCTTTAGAAGTGTTAATTATTATCCAAGGCCTGAGCTAAAGGGAAAAGAGTTTTATCTGAAACAGTGGAATTACAAGATGAAGAGAGCTTTGCTAGTTTCCTGAGTTGATTTGAATGCCAGGCAGAGGTAATTCTGCAGGTGATTCTCTGTTGTTCCTGGAGCTATTTTTTTCCTTAGACATTTTATCTCCAAATATTTTTTTCTGCTACCCTCTAAGATTAGTTCATTCTTAAGCAAACTGGTTAATGTCACTCTTGGGAATTGTACCCATGGGAGGGCCTTTACAACTCATCACCTTTATCATACTTAACAGAGTGGCCCGCTCTGGATCCAGCTCTTCTTGACCCTCATTTATATTTAGGTCTTTTGTCTAGGGAATCTATCACTAATCTATCACATACTCAATAGCCAGTTTGTTTGCTTGTTTGAGGGTCTCACTTTGTAGTTCAGGCTGGTCTTGAACTCACTGTAGAGTCCTGGAACTCACAGCGATCCTCCTGCCTCAGCCCCCTGAAAGTCCGAGGACTAAGCTGTGTGCCACCCTGCCCCACTAGGCAATTCTTGAGGATAGCCCCAGTGTTCACTTTTGCATCATGGCTTTAAGCTTTCATCCCATCTAAGTGTGCTCAGTCACCGTAGCCTTTGTGGCAGAGAGACACGCTCTCTGACTTCAGATCTTGCTGCTGGGGCCTGTTTCCTGTGTGGGGACGCAAAGGATGGTTTTTCTGTGGGTTTTTGCTTTTTATTTTCTGTTGAAAAATTATCTCTTAAGTTTACTCATAGTTTCTTTTTACAAGTATGAAATACTAGCTTCCCGTTGGCTTGCAGACTTTCAGAAAGAAAAAGAAAATCCTGGTTTTTATTAAAACCCTTTCCTTGTATCTGCTTTTTTCCACAAACTTTAAAGTTTCCTAATTAGCACAAGGTAGACATCTTCTCAAGGCCAGACTCTGTGTCCTCTGAGTTTTCGCTCTCCCCTTCCATTCTTTTATCATTTCTCTCCTCCTCTTGGCCATCTCTTGCCTCCTCTTGTCTTTGTGCTCACCATCCCTTCCCATCTTTTTCTCATACCTGTGCTCCCTTCTTTCTTCCATTGCCCTTCCTCTTTCTCCGTCTCACTGCTCTGCAAGTGTGAGCTACAGAACAAAAAGGGGAAAAGCCGCAAGTAATTTGAGAGCTGGTTTGGAGGTTCGAGCAGGAGAGTGCAGCTGCTCATATGCCCTTGACCTAGGAAGGGTCCTTCTCTGTCGCAGGTGGTCATCCTCTCTGACCATCAAGTAATTTGAAAAAGGCACTGATTAATGGAAAGTCATGCCTCAACTCTGCTTCTCTGTCTAATTCTAGAGCTCCTCGGTATCCCCATCAGCCAGTTTCCGAGGCTCTGAGAAGCACAGAAACTCTACTGACTACTCCTCAGAGAGCAAAAAGCAGAAGACTGAAGAAAAGGAAATTGCAGCTCGTTATGTGAGTTCGTTCACCTTTGCTTTGGAGGGAGGCTATTTGTTTTGCTTTTTTATTAGTAACAACCTATCCTTTGACTCTGACCAGCCAGCCCCAGGACACACAGGATCACTGTGTCCTGTAGGAGAAAGCAGTGTTTATTGCATTTCCCTGTGTGTCTCAGTTGGCTTGCTGAGGTTCTATGTGTACACAGGCGCATGTGAAGTGTTTCACCCAGCAGCTGATGGAGGAGGTGGGCTCTATGCTATTATTTCCATGAGACAATTACTTCCTCCTGTGTATTTCAGGATGGTTGGATTTTCTATGGTTAGCTAGAGATGCTAAGAAAGGTCAAGTCAAAGGCCACTTTAAATGCCTGGTTGGATTCATGTGCCAAGGCATGTACTGCTTTTGTGGATGACAACTTTCAGAGACCTCCAGAATGTCCCTGGCTCATTTTTCCCTGTACTGGATGGATCTCACAGAAGGGAGCTGGCTGGGTGGGAAGTGTACAGACCACCCCTGCTTGCTCCGCTGGCCCTGCGGGTTGTCAGCTCTAGTTTTTAAAGCATAGAGCAAACCGTGCCCACCTATAGGCCGAATGTCACCTGGGTATGCTGACTTGCACTCTTTAGTCCAGAGTGATAAGCAAGCCATCATCTTCAGTTTTTAGGCTGGAAAGTGGAACTATTGCCTGTAACATTGTCATGAAGACTAAAGAAACTAGGATGCAATAGAATACCTACCACTGTTTGGCATAATTTATTTTTCTAAGGTAGTGAGTTAGTCTGAACTCAGGGTAAACCCAGCAGCTTGTATTTTGTTATTGTTCATGTTCTGTCAGCTGGTAGAGGAGGTAATGTTTCTCCATTGTCCGTGCAGGACAGTGACGGCGAGAAGAGTGATGACAATTTGGTGGTGGACGTTTCCAATGAGGTATGTACATTTATAGCTAGGTTACCCTCCTTACCAGCTGTAAGAAAGGCTAGTGTCCAAACTCAGTAACCATTGTTCTCTTAATTTTTAAATGGATTCTTTATTCACATTATAAGTGCTGTATTACTGAGTTTATGTGTTAGTGGTACTTTTTTACTGTATTTCCTTTGAAGCACCCATGCCTTCTGAAGCACCACCATGACTGCCCACCAGACATCTGGTCAGCCTGCAGATGTCATTTGCAGCCGGCTTGCAAATTGGTGGAGTTTCTTTGCTTTTTTCTTTTTAAGTACTGCAGTATTTTCTTTGCCATCTATACCCAGATATTTTCTCAGGCAGTTTCTGTGAGTTTTGTTGTCTATTGCAAGACATTTTGTACTAAGTCATTAGATGCTTTCAGCTAGAAATGCCCAGGCACAGAGCTAGTGTTGCGGATGCACCGTGAGCCTTACTCTCCATGATGTACCATTACAGGACCCATCCTCCCCCCGAGGGAGCCCGGCACATTCCCCTCGAGAGAACGGCCTGGATAAGACTCGCCTCCTCAAGAAGGATGCCCCTATCAGCCCCGCCTCCATCGCATCTTCCAGCAGTACTCCTTCCTCCAAATCCAAAGAACTTAGCCTTGTAAGTAGCTCTGCCCGTCACTGTTAGGGCTGCCCACTGCCAGATAGTTGGGTCTAATTTTAATTTTGTGTGTGTGTGTATTCTACACATTTTTCTGCAGGGCTTTGATTTCCAAATGCACATATATGTTCAGTATGTTAAGTTTCCAAATAGGTTTTTAAATTCACACCCGAAAGAAAGGAAAGTATGCAATTTATGTGCAAGTTAGGGAAACACTAAATATCTAGCAAAAGGCTAGATGCTGGGGAAGTCTTGTTTTCTTCAGGTGCGCGTATGTGTGTGCCTGCCTGTGTGTGTGTGTGTGTGTGTGTGTGTGTGTGTGTGTTACCTCCTCTTCCTAAGTTTCTGCGAGTATTAAAGCTTGGGTCTTTTCTATTAGGACCTGTCCAGCAGAAGGCCATTGTGTCATGAACAATCCACTAGGAACCCAAATTAAACCATAGAGGCTGAAGCCAGATACCCGTTAGGACACTGTGACTTACCTACTTTCTTTAGCCTCTTAACCTATTTTTCCTGGAAATGATCCACTTTGTAAAGTCAGTTTTAACTGATGTGCATGAACTTTGGTCCCCCCTCCTTTTTTTTTTTTTTACTAGCTGTTTTTAATTAATGCAAGTAAAAGGGCCTAGCTGAACAGTCTCTACCATCTGTCTCTTTCCTTTTTTTTCTTTCCCTTTTTGTTTCCTTTACCTTTTAAATGCTAACTTACTTGTTAAAACCATGTTCTCATCACTGGTACATTTCATTACATCTCTTGTTAGAATGAAAAATCTACTACTCCTGTGTCCAAGTCCAATACCCCTACTCCACGAACGGATGCACCCACCCCAGGCAGTAACTCCACTCCCGGACTGAGGCCTGTGTCTGGAAAACCACCAGGAGTGGACCCCTTGGGTGAGTGAGGAGAGAAGTTTCCTTCTGTATTACCTTTATGTTTCTGTTGTTCAAAGAATTTAACGTGACTCAAAACAGTGCAGTACATTAGATGTAGTAATGGCTGGCTTTGAGTGGCTGTAGGTGCTGTGTCATTTGTCCCAAACCAGGAGCCTGGCACTAAGCCTGTTTGTTTAGTATGTACTAGGTATTCTATGTAGTGAATGAACGAAGCCCTCTGAAGGCTTGATGGACTTTTTTGCAAATATTCAAATAAGTTTGTTTGAACCGTGGACTGTACTTGTTAACACGTTTAAGTGTGTCTTTAATATTGCTCCTTGTGTTCTGGACTGTGCCCCGCCCTCATACCATCTTGGTCTGCAGCATCCAGCCTGAGGACCCCCATGGCTGTCCCTTGTCCATATCCAACCCCATTCGGAATTGTGCCCCACGCCGGGATGAATGGGGAGTTGACAAGCCCTGGAGCCGCCTACGCCGGGCTGCACAACATCTCCCCGCAGATGAGTGCCGCCGCTGCTGCTGCTGCTGCCGCGGCTGCCTATGGAAGATCACCAGTGGTATGTTTTTACAAAATGACACTTTGGAGTGCAGGCTATTCCTCCACTGTTGAATGTAGTTTTTTACAAGAATGAATTTTCCTGGGGAGATCTGAAGACATTTGGAAATAAAACTGCACGTTAGATCTTGATCTGTTTATTTTTGGAAAGCAAAAAAAGTTTATTTTTCACATCTTTTTAAATGGGTTATTTTAGACATTTAGATTCACAGAATTAAATAACATAATTAACCTTTCATTTCTGATTTTGTTCATTTTATTCCATTCTTAGTGTGAAACCATTCAATCTTAAAGAGGCTATGATTGATTGATTGATTGATTGATCAATCGATCAATTGATTTTTGCAGTACCAGAGATTGAACTTAGGACTTAGCGCTTGCCAGACAGGAGCTTATGCTGCTGAGCTATCTCCCTGGCAAGGTGCTATCATTTTACCAGTGATTACTTGTGGTTTATATCTGCAGAATTTTCATTTTCAAAGGATCTGTTTCCACAGGTTTTAAGAAAGATGACTAGAATATATAAGTCAGTGTAATACTGATTAATCATTTTGTGTGGGGAAATTCCAGGTGGGGTTTGATCCGCACCATCACATGCGTGTGCCAGCGATACCTCCAAACCTGACAGGCATCCCAGGAGGAAAGCCGTGAGTACCCCGTGCCTTTTCTGCTCACTACGTGGTGAGCCCTGGCCCTTTGTCAGCCCTTCTGACCGTGAACATGAGAGACAGTGTTGGCCTGGGGTTATCCCTAGGGCCAAATAGTTTTATTGTATCTTAGCACAGGAAAGGAGGTAATGAAGTGAGATTGTGTGTGTTCACTCTAAAAACTTCGAATTTTAACATGGAAATGCAGATTGCAGGGCAGCCTGACAGCCAGGGCTTCTCTTATGTCTGTCACTGATTTTCAGGCAGGTCTTTGTTCACAAAAGCATGGGCAAACCTGGGTGCTCAAAACTTTAACATGTAGGAAAGAGACATGCCCAAGGGCAGAAAAGAAAAGAGGGCAGTCCCATTCCGAGTCCTGCTTCTGGCAAATGCAGCTCCTCAGCTGGCTTCTTGTACTCATTAATCATTGGCCCTGGGTTCACGAGCTCCCAGAGTCGTCGGACACAAAGTGCACGGCCTTCCCAGCCTCCTCTCGTGTGTTTTGTTCACTTTCCATCTCTTGGTCTATGTTCTTCACTTCACAGTAATGTGTATCTTTTATTATTACCAGTTCTCTATCTAATCAGCTTCCTTGTCCTAGACACAGGACTTTACTGGAAAGTGGCTTTGGCGCTGCCTTTAAAGTCCCAACTGGGATTCCCTCTTCTCTTTTGGGAAACACCCCCTCCAAGCTTCTATGTCTTTATTAGCCTGTTTACTCCCTCCTTTTGTCATCAGCGCCACATCCCTGTACACGTCTGCCACACTGCTGCCTTCCCACGTCTGGTGCTGTCCAAACCTGACGCCTGGTAATGGCCAGCCTCGTACAGCAAGTGCCTGTGGCTTGCTGTCTCCCTCCAGGTCTGTCCCTGACATCAGATGACCTGTCCTGGTACCTCTCGCAGGATGCCACCCCACCCTCCTTTCCTCTTCCTCTCTAGTTAGTCCCTCATCTTCCTTATGTTCATTCATAGTGTTATCTCTTCCCAGGGCAGCACTGCTTGACATTGAGTTATAGAAATGACTTCAGTGCCTTATGTGACACCTGGTTCGTAGTTAGGGCTCAGAGTCTGAGTGGATAGGAGAATATGTACTGCTCCTTTCCTTGTCTACCCTCTCTGTGCTTATTCCTTCACTCAGTTGTCACCTGGATGTGTCCTCTTGTGCATTCCAGCTTGCTGCTGTCTGTGTTAAATGTGCCTCCTTTGCACGTCTCTTTCCTTGCCATCTGACCAGTAGGAACCTGGGCAGACTCTACCTTAATCTTCGTTTCTGCATCAAACATGATGCCAACTCGGTAGCCGAGTTGTTCAGTAAATATTTGACTGATTAATAAGGGAAACAAGGCAAATGAGACTTCAAGTTCCTTGAGAATTGAAGGTATAAACATCGATTATCATAAAACTCTGTGTACCTGTGTTTTCTGCAAGTACTTGTTGACAGACCAACAAGTCTTGTTGACCGAGAACTCTTGATGTATTTGAAGGTAAAAGTTTGTTCCCTTTCAAGCAGTGACTAAATAACAAGGTCATAGGATTAATCAAATAACTGCATGAATGCCTACAAATTCCACGCGAACTGGTGTCATGGGTGGCAGAGATGGAGGGGCACCTTTAGGGTCCTTTTCCAGGTGCTGCATAGTCACTATGTAGGGTAACAACAGCTGCATGCAGAGCTGGACAGGGCAGCTTCTTGATTTGGCTTTGCTTAAGGTTTCAAGTATAAGTGTGTTGTCTGCATCTAACTGAACAGCAGCAGTCTTGTTTGGGCTTAGCCAGCTGAATGGCTGTGGCATCACACCTGGCTTGAGGTGTTTCTGAGCCTTGCATTTTCCTCTAGTTCGACTCTGGGTATATAAAAATTTTACCATCCCTTTGGGAAGATCAGTGACTTGGAGGGTTTTTTAAGAACTGTTCTGAGGAATGAAGGAGTCAACCCCTAATGCATTTGGCAAATGACTCTTTACCAAAAAAAGAAAAAAAACATGTGACATGATGGATTATGTTGACCCACGTGGATTTGTAACGGCAAGCAGAAACACCAAAATGATGCTGAGGATTTGGAGGCAGATTTATGTACCTCGGTGGGCACTGATTGGGATCAATCCCAGCATGTCAGCTCTGATCTCTGGTGGTCTATGGCTTAGATGGGAATAGCAAGCAGGAAGTACAGAGGCAGAATGGCTTGTCAGTTGGAGATTGCTCTGTACAGTGCGTAGCATAGAGATCAGCTATGCATCACAGTGATCAGCTGTTTCTAAGAGATAGGAGCAGCTGGAGCAGGAACTATGACCTGGGCAACTAAGAAACTGAAGTCTGCTGGCAGAGGTGGGGTGGCTTTTGCTATTACAGATTTAGGAGTTTTTGACAGACCTGTTTGAATTTTGATTTTGCCACTTGAGCAATAGGAAAAGTGCCTTTAGCCATAGCTTCCTGACTTTGTGAGCTTCACTTGACTTCTCAGCAGGAGGAGTGCGTAGATGAACATCTTGGTGACGTGCTGCTGATGAGCACGGGTTTTGATAACGTGGTGGCTGACTTACAGCAGCTATGGCAGCAGGGCCCACATTCTCAAGTAGTAGAAGGTGCACTGTGTATTTGGGGCAGAAGTAACAAGTTTGGGTTGAGTAGTTGGATTCTGTAATTTCTGTCCTTGGTATTTTTTTATGTAAGAGGTCATCAAGATACAAATTCCCGTTCATTTACGCATATAGAGATGACCTACTTTTATTACAGATTTTTACAGCAGAAGTGAGCATAATGATTATTGTAAGATACAGAATTTGTGAAGCTTGGTCTTGAGGCATGGTTTTCAACTAAAATCCTATAGACGCTAGGATATAAAATACTAAATCACGCAAAGACCTGCCTACCACATACACTCACAAAATAATTGCCATTCTCCAGAAAGGGAACAGTTGCGTATCTGTCTTGGTAATTTTTACAAAATTAATTGCTAGGTGTTATAAAAATTGTAATTAAGAATGCATACATGAAGGTAATGAACAGAGTACAATTTATCTAATAATTCATATTGAGTTTTCCTGCCTATTATGGTGGTTCGAATGACTATGTAGTTTAATTTCACAAGCCAGAAATGGACTACCTACTTTAGCTGCTGCTTACGTGAGACATTTATAAGTAGTGTATAAACATTTGATCAAAACCAATCAATTATCAATAACTTATGAGATTTGATTTTTAAATGTAGCAAACAAAATGATTTCAGGTTTATGGGCTTCACTTCAGGCTATTCAGACTTCAGAAATATTTCCTCGAAGATGCATAGATGCATTTGTTTGTGTACAGTAAGACTTTCAAAATGGGAAAAATACCTAATACACAGTAAAAATCTTCAAGTGTATATTGCCAACCGAGCTGCTGGTGAGTGGCTAATTTTATATGCTAATTTTCTATCATGCTTCTGAAAGTATAGCAGTCAGACCCTTAATTATGAAGCCACTGTATAGTCCTATCTGTGGGGTGTTGGACACTTGAAGATGTTTGAGAGGGATGAACACAGCGAGACAGAACCAGGCTTCTTTAGTGCAGCAGGAAGAGGTGGAGGTTGGAAGGCCAAGAGCTTTCTTTTATTATGCTTGTTCTTCATCAGAGAAGGTGATCCAAATAAAGTAACAACTTGAACACACACATTGGACCTCACTGAAAGTTGGAGATGTAGTGTCGTCCTCAGAGCCAGGCTTGACAGTTTTCTCAGCTCTCTTCTCTTCACTTCACCAGGTCTACCCGAGGACTGCTCTTCACTCTTGAGTTTCCACTGGTGTGTGTGGGCGTGTGCGTGCTTGTGGGCGTTGTGGGTCACTAGCTGTCCCATTCCCTGTCTAGACTTACATTTCTAGTTGTTCGTTGAATGTCTTAACTATGCATCTTGTGTATTACTTACACCTCACATTCATTATATGCAGAAATGACTGTCATGTATTAGTCCTTCCCCCCTATGTCCCTACTTTTTCATAATTGCCAGCACCTGGTCTTGATCTCCTGAGCCCCAGAGGCTCGGCCATTGTGTGCTCCCTCGTCACGTCTCACTCACCAGGTCTCCAGACCTGCACACGCACGCCTGCCTCTTATCGTGCCGTCCTTGGCCTCGCGGCTTCGCTTCCTGTCCCTGAGCACTCACCTAGGTGACAGGACGGTTGTTTCTGCTGCTCCTGTTCACCTGTATCCTCTTTTTGCCACTGACAAGGTACCTGCAGTGATCATCCTATGGGAAGGGAAGGTTCTGTTCTGGCCCAGTTTACAGGTCAAGGCCAATTAGCTGCATTGCATTCTGGGCATTGGCAAGGCAGGACGTCGTGGGGGTAATGTGGCAAAGGACACTGCTTCTCTTGCCAGCTAGCAGAAAAGCCTGCAAAACACAGAAGGAAAGATAGGTGGGTGAGAGTCCCCAGGGTGCAGCTTGCTCGCTGGCGAGCCCATGGCCCCAAGGCACCGCCACCTCCTGCATTAGTACCAAGCCTTCATCATGGTCTGAGGTGGTGAATCTGTGGCCCATGTGATGTTCTTTTAAGACAGAAGATACTAATACAGAATTGTGTTTTCTAGAACCTCAGTATTTGGGTTTCACTGCAGAGTTGGCACTTTGCAATAAGTAAGTGGGTTTGGGGTTGCAGTTTGTCACTCATCTCTAGCAGGTTTGCCATCACTGTGTAGACCCCAACTGTAGTGACATTCTCTTCCTTGTAGCCAAATCTATGTTGTAATGGTTTTGCCCCAGTAATGTCGTACCCTCTTCTCACCCCAGAACCCTCACCTTTGAAGGTCAGCATTGCATTTTTTCAATTTCATGGATTTCTAACTGCCATATTTTGTCACACTGTTCTGACCGTCACCCCACTTACTCACTTGGAGGTCACTTTTTTTAAATTTTTTTTTTTTTTTGGAGGTCACTTTTGAGGAAATGAACTTGAAAGTGATCCAGAGGTTCCCCAGAGCCTCTGTTGGAGTTCCTGGTCTCTTCTCTGCACCTCCTGCCTGATGAAGTATTTTTCCCATCTTTCTTCCACCTTGGTGAACTCTGTCCTTTCTTTCAAACCCATGATTTCTCTGGTTTCTCTTCAGATTGAATAAATCCTCTGCATTTTTTCAGAACCTGTGACTAGTACCTCGTGTCTCATGAAACAGCACTTTCATCTTTCTTTTCAAACCACTTCAGAATCCTGCTACCCCTGGAGTATGACCTGGTGGTTTGGCCACTTGTGTGATCGCCTCATCAGCCTCCGTACATCATAAGCCGTTCAGGGACGAGGCTGTCTTCCCCGCTGCTTTCTTCTTAGCTGTTGTTTACCTCCCAGCACGTGGGTAAGCTGTCATTGCTAGGTAAGAGTGTTGAGACATCCACCTTGATAGCAAGACGGTGCTGAGCCTGAGATTGTGTGACTCCTGGAAACGGTGGTTTTCTTTATGTACTCCACTACTTTTTGCTTGTTACACACCGAAGAGCTGGCCTCAGTTAGCTAAGTGCTCTGGGCTTTCAGTCCTGAATACTGCACGTGTGCCAGCAGTGGACAGAGAGCCACACTGAGTCCTGCATGTATTTGGGCTCTGGAGCTTCACGTAGAGCCTCTGACAGGAAGTTGTTTGAGTGCAGGAGGTTCTTACAGAGTGCTTTTAAGTTCAGGATATTCTGTCAGTGACCTTGCTGGAACTGTATGTGTGGTTGCTTAACTGTTTAAATTCTCAAGTACCTTTAAAAAACCATTTCAAGATTCTAGAGTGGAAAAAGGGATGTCTTTTCAAAGAAACTATCATTAAGAATGTATAACAACATCTGAACTTGGAATAACCTTCCTCTCCTGTCCTTTAAGATTTAGTCTTTATGACCTCTTAATTGCTAAATCAGTTAGCCTTTTTCTTGGTCATCATCCCTCAGAGTCTCAGCTTTTCTGTAGGAACACGTTGCCTGAACTAAAGCCTGACTCGCGCTGGAGGTCACCCCTGCATAGGCTACCTTCGGGGGGGGGGGCGGGGTTAACCCACAGTTTGTTCGTACCCCACAATGCACTGGTTCCCCCTGTTCCCTCTGCCTCAGGCTCTTGGCGAACTAAGCTTTTCTGCCCCTTATAAAGAGTCTTGCTTCTTTGCAGACCTGTGCCATTTGATTCTTCTTTCTGGCTTGCTGAAGTTTTTCTCCAGTTTGTTAAAGACTTAGCCCAAGGATTAGTCTTTCCCTACCCACTGCCAGCCTTGATACTTGTGTCCGCATGGACAAACTCACAATAACTTCACTTCCATTGGCTGCCTTGTCCCTAATGAATATCTGCCCTATGTAACTTCCCACTACCTGCATTTTCAGTCTCACGAGAGTTGGTCTCACCTCTGTTACCTCTAAGAACCAAGCATCTTGCCCAGCGTGGACTATTTCTGGCCACCTAACTGAGTCTCTGTGCCCTGGTCTGTCTCCTAAAATGGCCCCCGGTAGAGTTACCCTTTTGGATCTATCCACCTTCAACCCATTCTTCATCCAGCAACCACTGTGGTCCTTCAGTATCTTAACAGTCATGTTGTAAACTTCCAGTGGCTTGCCTTCTATTCTAGTAACGCCGGACTTCTTAGCACAGCTTACACGGCCCTTCCTTGCTCTTCAAGCCCACATCCTGTCACAGTGTTGAATGCTGCCCAGCTTCAAGGCACATACAGTGACTGTTCCTTCTACTTGGTGCTTTGTTCCATTTTCCCCTGAAAGATGCAGGCTGGTGTGAAAACAGGCTGACTTTTCCTCCTCTCATTCCCTCCTACTTAACAGTGTCTGAAACATAGGAGGCTATGAATAAATGTGAGCTGGATGGGCTTGTTCTCTCTTCCTCCTTCTTTTTTCCCATACTCAACATCCTGTCTTGAGATTCCCACAGTGCCATAGGGCTTCTGTCATTCCCAGTGCTGGCCTCTGATCTTCTTAGAATTACTTGTGTGAGCATCTCACTCTGTCCTCAGCTCCACCAGCTGCTTGGGAAAATAGAGTGTGTGAGATTCTTTCTCCCTCCATCCTGAGCATAGCGCTTGACACACAAGGATCCTCAAGAAATACATTCAGTGGCTGAACCTCTCTGTACATCTTCACATCATTGACTGTCTTCTCCTTTCTGCATATAGTCTCTGTTCATAATTTATCTGTCCCTCTGACTGTTTTTGCTGTGGATTCCTTAACTCTAAGCCTTCACTTAGACTGGGCAGGGCGTTTGCTGCTCACCACACAAGGTGCTTCTAGATCATTCTTTCTGCCCCGCAGCCTCAGCCATCTTAGTTTGTGGTTGACCATACATCATTTCTAGTCCAGCCTCACTCCTTAATTGAAGGTGTTTTAATTTTCATTGGCCCTCACTTTCAGCAAAACCATATCCCTGCGTGTGGACCATTGAGTTAGGCTGCCTTGTCATAGTCACCAGTTCTTTCAGCTCCCCCATCCCTGAGTGGAATCCTGTCTTCTCAGGCCACATATTTACTGTGTCCCCAAGTCCTACTGATTTGACTCAAGGAAAGGCTTCTGCTCATCGGCCTTCTGGCTCCCACCTCCTTCCCCTCTAGAAAGTCTGTGTGCTGCTCTCTCCTGTGGCTCTCTGTAGTTTTGAGAAAGTAAAGGCTTCTGCGTCTGGCTCCTACCTCTTGCATGCCACAGTGTGCCCTTGATTCTTCTGGATGCATTCAGATCTCTGATGAAGGCTCCTCAATGAAGGGCTCAATGTTGACAAACGTGACATGCCTGAGGGTTTTTGTGTTAAGAAACCACCGACTTACAGTTTGATACTGAGCGTCCCTGTTTCAGTTCAGGCTCCTGTCCTTGGTGCACCCATACGTGCCCTTCGGCGCATCCTTAGCAGACTTCTTCCCATCAACAGAACATGTGCCCGGACTCCATACTGAAGTAGCAGGGCATGATTTCCCCAATGGCCTTGCAGCCCCCATGTAGAGCCAGCCCCTCCTGCCTGCAGCCCGCCTCCTCACGCCCCTGCCGACTTCAGTCACACCTGAGAATCAGATGATTTCATCTTTGCAGGGCTTTCCTTGGTTATGGACTGCAGATCTTACTGCCAGTGGCTGCCCGCTGTGGGCCCTGGAGCTGCCACGAAGGATGCTTTCTCATGTCCTCTTGCCATTCAGGTTTACTAGGATTTGTGATTATCAAGTCTAAGCAGAGTGTTGAAATGGGACTTTAATTTTTTAACACATCTGCCATCTCATCATCTATGCCTGGAGATTCTTCGCTCCCGAGAGCTTCACAGTTGTAGCTTCCTGATTTCCATTAGTTAAGTTGCTTGATTGGAGTAAATTGATCGTTAGGCAAAATCTGATCACAAGCCTCGGAGTCACTGTAGAAGGCAGTGCAAGTTTATAACATAACCTAAGAGTAGGCGTTGTCCTTGATATTAGTTACCTTATTTATTTCTCTGAGAGGTAGGTACATCCTCTTACTTTTAGAGCTCAGAAGTGAAGTTCAGAGATGGTTGGTAACAACTGATACCCGGTAGCCAGTAACAGCCTGAGGTTTGATCATGGGTTTAGCAGCATCACTGAAACTTGCATTATTTCCTTTGTATTGAGTAAATCTGACCTGCTTGCACATCTCAAGTAGCACTGAAAATGTTGTCTTTCTTGTTACGCTGAAGAGCTTAGTAACATCTTTTGTGCATTTCTTTCTTCCTGTCTTGTCTTCTCTCCTTTAGAGCCTACTCCTTTCACGTTAGTGCGGATGGTCAGATGCAGCCGGTCCCCTTCCCCCCTGATGCCCTCATTGGACCTGGAATCCCCCGACATGCTCGCCAGATCAACACACTCAACCACGGGGAGGTGGTGTGCGCGGTCACCATCAGCAACCCCACGAGGCACGTGTACACGGGCGGCAAGGGCTGCGTCAAGGTGTGGGACATCAGCCACCCTGGCAACAAGAGTCCCGTCTCCCAGCTGGACTGTCTGGTGAGTGAGCAGGC